CCAAGTAGTCAACAAAATTTAAAGCCTTTGCATATATTAAAGCAATATATCTGAACAAAGACAGGAGCATTGAAGTTTTATATAAAAACTTTACCGCTTTAATTTATAATATTCAGGCAAAAAAAAGGTTCCATTATATACGTGCAACCCTGTCATTTATCTGCAAGGTACTTGGGATTATGTTAAAGGAAGGGAAAATGGCACTTGGAATAATTCTTTCTTCACTTACTCAGAATCTCCGTGAGCCAATTCCAGAAACCTGCACTCCTGTACTGCAATCACTTACAGTCACAAACAGCTGAGATCAGTTTGAATTCTGTAACCTGATCTATCCAGAGAAGAAATGCCACATTATCAGCCTCAAAACTTACTTCAATACAATTTCTTTCTTTTTTTGCTACATATGCTATATGCAGCACTTGGCTTAAAAAAATAGCCTAGTGAAAGGTTTGGAAAAGCTCTTTTTGTCAAGATTCATTGTAAACAGTTTACTGTTGCCTTGTTGCATGCAACTAAATGATTAGGATTTTAGTTTTGTCTAAAATTTTAAAAAGGAGCATATTGTAAAATTAAAATAGATCTATCAGCATCTGGAAAATGAGACGATTCATTCATTTTTCAGGTAAAGAACTCTCTGCGAAGTTGACCGATTGAGAAGGCAGGAGGGGCTGCAATGTAGGACTGACTAAAATAGGCTTCTTTGTTCCTGTCAATATTTTATATGATCCCTTATACCTTAATTTTCATAAAAGTTCCAACAAAGTCGCTACCTGAAATGTTAATTATTTTGGAAAAATATTATTGCTTGCATACATTTTTTGGAACTTAATGATATTATTTCAGATTTTGTGTATTTGCATTTTTCCCTCTGGATTTCTACATAGTTAAGTTGTGATTTGTTTCCAAAATCTGCTTCTTTTCACACTTAATAAGGCCTAGTGATTGTAAGGAGTTCCTACTAAAGGAATATTGTGTGCTTTTGTTAAAATGTGTAAGAATTAGGGACTAAAATACTACACGCAGCACATCCAGGATAAGTTACTTTACATTCTGTTAACTCGATATGATGCAAAATCCTGTTACAAGCACGTTTCCTCTTGCTTGAGTAATTTAAAATCTGTACAGTTCAACATAAATCTGCATGGCAATAACAACTACCTTTCTGAGACAAAGTAGTCTATTACATTTGCCAATTACACCGTTTCTTTATCGTAAATGGGTACTGTGTATAAAAGGTGACTACGATCGTACAATTAACCAAGAGGCATTACTCTGAATTTGGGTGATTACAATGTAAATTGATTAAGAAAAATAGAAACATAGGATTTAAAGGAGTTATTCTGCATTATTGGACGTACATTTTTTTATGGTAACAGCACTATTATTTGGTTTCTTTCCACTGTGTAAAAGACTAGTGCCTGTAGAAATTTGATTTTAGTTTAAATTAGTTTTAAAAGGGCTGTGTCATCAAAATTCAGGGGAGGCTCTGTTCCAGGACTACTCACTGTGAAAATTTAATGCATTAGCAATGGGGCGGACACCTAGGAATGTTGGCATGTCAACTATGATACCTCTGTTGCCTATAGTGGTGCATGAAACAATGTTCTTATAGTTATCTTAATAATATTTTAGTTAACCTGTAAAATGATGTTGTGTCATCAGATGCCATACAATATACATACCACTTTGCAAATTGCTCCTACCCAGTCCTTTACATATCAATGTGACAAAATGTCTCCCACAAGGAAGACCATCCCAACACAACACACATCTCCACTCCTTTAAGGCACTTAACTCTTAGCAGCTAATCCATCAGCATGCAGAACCATCAATGGTCAAGCACAAATGCAGCCATAAAAGCGAGCCTTTTGGATCCTCTATCTTCAATATAAGAAAGTCAAGAGGTTGGGGTAATGGTCTCATACAGGCACAGTTTCAAACTGATTCAGTTCCAAGATGCTTAGAACAACCAGTGGCTCCTAATTTTCATCATTTTTGCCTTTGAGCTCTCTGTAGATATTTGGATTTTTAAAATTGACGTTCAATTTTCTACTGTTAAAAATCTTTCCACAACCGCCAATTTCATGTGAAATGATTGATAACTCAACGGAAAGATATTTTCTTAAACAACCTAATAAAACTTCCATTTTAGTTTGGGAAACATTGCTAGCACATTTGTGGGTTATTTTCATGGTAGTGATTCTAAAAGTAGGTAACGTCTTTTGTCATTATTCTGTCTTGCCTAGTAAAATCAATTAAAGTTGTCAAACTCTACTTTATTGATACAGTGGGTCCTTAAAATTCATGTGCAATAATTGGCTCTGTGAAATCTTGAAGTTTCAAAAGGCTAGATCTACTGCTTGTGACATGATCGATGGAGGTCTGCGCCTTTGTAATTGAGCAATTAAAAGCCACTGTTGGGTTTTATTAATTACAGACTGCAGGATATTTCCAGCTCAGCACATGTTATGTAACTGATGTAGCTTTATTCTACTTCTCTTCACAAGGTGTGAAATTTAAAATGACGAATACAGGTAAAGGACAGTGGGTGAAAAACACTGTATAAGGTTTTTGAAATTTACCATAACAGTAAATAAACCCATAGTTAATATAAAACAATTCCTGTAAGTTCATATTTTAATATTCATAAAATATAGCGACAATCTCCGCTTACTAGTTTCCTGATAAAGAAAAAAAGGACATTTTTTTGCAATGAGATAGCTGCAAGATATAGTCATGTAAATGACAAATGCTTCTTATGTTTTCTCTTGCTCATGCTCAGTCCTGTTCACCCATCAGCCATGCCCAAAATATGTTAGCTCCTGATCAACCAATGTTTAAAATTCCCATACTTATAAACAAAAACAGAAATGAAGCAGGTCTGAGCGCAGTGGAGAGAAATCAGAGTTAATTTTTTGGGTCCAGTGACCCTTGTTCAGAACTGTTCTCAGACCTGCTGAGTTTTTCCAGCAATTTCTGTTTTTGTTTGTGATTTTCAGCATCCCCATTTATTTTAGTTTCACGTAGTTATACTTTAGTTCCTTTACGGCTTTGCTCCTCTCTAACAAGGGGAGGTAATAGACTAGTGATATTATTACTAGACTACTAATCCAGAGACCCAGGTCATGTCCTGGGGACCTGCGTTCAAATCCTGCCATGGTAATGGTGGAATCTGAATTTGATAATAAATCAAAATCTGGAATTAAAAGCCTAATTTGACCATGAAACTGTTGTTGAAAACTCCCATCTGGTACACTCTGTGCTTATTAGGGAAGGAAACTGCTATCATAGAGTTATATAACATGCAAATAGACCCTTTGGTTCAACTCGTCTGCACCAACTAAACATCTCAATCTAACCTAGTCCCATTTGCCCCATATCCCTCTAAATCCTTCCTATTCATGTACCCATCCAGATGCCTTTTAAATTTTGTAATTGTACCCGCCCCTACCACTTCCTTTGGTGACGTGTTCCATATATGCACCACCCTCTGTGTGAAAAGTTACTCTTCAGGTCTGTTCTAAATCTTTCCCCTCTCAGCTTAAACCCATGCCCTCTAGTTTAGACCCAGTCTGGCCTATATATGATGCAAGATCCACTATAATATGGCTGACTCTTCACTGCCCTCTGAAATGGCTGAGTGAATGACTCAGTTCAATTAGGGATGGACCTAGCCTGCTACACCACATCGTGTGAATGAAAACAAAGTCTGTAACCTCCTCCAACCTTCTAAGAACTGTGCATTCGTTCAATTCTGGCACATTGTACATCCCTCCCTTACTTCTTTGAATGTAATATCACTTCTCTGTGCCTTAAGCCATCTAAGCAAGGGCGGCACTGTGGCTCAGTGGTTAGCACTGCTGTCTCACAGCTCCAGGGACCCAGATTCGATCCCACCCCCGGGCAACTGTCTGTGTGGGGTTTGCACATTCACCCCGTGTCTGTGTGGGCTTCCTCCAGGTGCTCCAGTTTCCTCCCACAGGCCAAAGATGTGCAGTTTAGGTGAACTGGCCATGCTGTAGTGTCCAGGGATGTGTCAGTTGGGTGGCTTAGCCATGGGGAATGCAGGGTTACAGTGATAGGGTAGGGGGATAGGTCTGGTTGGAATGCTCTTCAGGGAGTCAGCGTGGACTCAATGGGCCAAATGGCCTGCTCCCACACTGTACAGATTCTATTCTATGATTCCTGTCTCTTTCTTTGAAGCCCTTTCCATCAAGATTTTGGCCATCGATCTTCATGGCTCTTTTCTAGCTCAGTATCAAGTGATTATGTCCTTGTGAAGCACCTTGTAAAGTTATCCTATGTTATAAGGACACTACATTGATGTACCTTGTTGTTGCTAACATTATTTTGATTAAAATGATGCATCCCAGAACACACACAATAAAAGAGGTTAAATACTTGTGCTCATTTACTGCTCTGAAGATTCTCAGGTTTGCATGACCTTTGTAAACCCACTGAACAAATATAGCTCAACGCAGTCATTGGCATCATCTGAACCTTTAAACCATAAAACATTGGAGCAGAAGTAGGTTATTCAGCCCAGTTCAGCCCAATGGAATATTGTAAAGAAGCTTAACATTATGATTTTTACCCCACTTTGGCCATGCTTAACTTTAACCTTTACTGGCAATACATGAATTATTCCAAAAATTAATGGTGCGTGTTGTGGCTGCCCTGGACTGTTGGAGAGGCAAAGGCTATTCCTGAGATACAGTTCTAAATTGTGTTAAACGTGTTCAAGTGCTTCTTTTCTCCCCCGCAAAAAAGCAACCTGGGGAGTGACAATGCTGTCTGGCTTTCAAATGTCTGTGATGTCCCTGGTCTGAAAAAGCCATTAAGTTGTGCATATAAAATTTCTGCGCATACAGTAATGCTCGTGATTAATCGCAGCAATGTTTTCCTTGGTTGGAGTAATCCAACATGTGGTGTTCAACCCCGCCCCTCTCACATTACACACTATAAACTTGTCACTTTTCCCACCAAAGCACTCAGAGGGAGTCAGGCTCATAGAGTGCAGGCATGTCAGCAATTTGTTTTTTTTAAAAAAAGAAAAACTTGTGATCATTGCAAATTTCTAATTGAAGGCTTGAAGTGGCTAAGGTCGTTGCATTTTTGTTCTTTTGCAGAGTTGTAGGATTTAAAGCACTTTCTGGTGCACTGAGCATCTTGCAACTTCTCCATGGAGCAGAGCACAGGCAGCTGCATGCGCAATTCGCATTCCGGGGCCACCGTCTGGGGCTGTATGAGAAATCCACATTCCGGGGCCGGCGTGCCCGGCCTGCACCATTACCCGTCGCCTTTCTCCTTCTACAAGAAGTCCGACCCCGCCGATTTCACCGCCTACTCGGAATTCACGTCGCCGTGCCTGGTGTCGGCGGCGCACGGCTTCCCCGCGGAGGACCGGGTTTACGTGGACCACCACCCGCCCAGGTTCCCCCGCTCCGAGTGGCACCTTCCGCCGCCGCCGGCCCCGCCCCCTCCCGCCCCGACGGCGGCCAGGGAGAGACAAACCTCCTGCCTGTCCGCCAGCTCCGCCAATTTCGAAACCGGTGGAAACTCGCAAGCGGCCGGCTGCCTCAGCGCTGGGGATTACAGTAGCCCGCGGGATATCGCGGCATCCGACATCGACAAGAAAGTAACCAAAAGGAAACGCGACGTTTTAGGTGAGAGACACATTGTTATTCCCAATAAAGCAATAAAACATGAAATTAAATATCGATTCTGTTTTAAAGAAAAACTCCAGCAACATGCTTTCCAACCTAAAACAATGTGTTCCACCCTATAGGGGACTCTTGTAAAAGTTTGTTTCTTTTTATATAACAAAACGTCGCTTGCATCAAATTCTCATTTGTTTTGAAGAATTACATTCGTCCCAATCCCGCAACAAGCCAAAAACAAAATGACAGATCTCAAATCCACTTTTTAGCCCAAAATTAAAAGGAAATGGTCAATCCCAAATAGACTTCTTTCCAAAACCATTGAAAGTTTCGAGACTGAGTGATTACATTTGCAGTGATGCAGCTTATAAACGATAAAACTTTATTTGTGGGTCTTCCACACCTGTCAAAAAAGTTAATTAGCTGCAAAAAAAGTTGCATCTGTAACAAGATGAAAAGAGAGAAAAATGTTTTAGCCTAGTTTCTTATATTTTAACTGTTATTGAAATATTATGAAAATTAATTTCAGTGCAGTTTCTAATTTCACTCATTTGAAATTACCCTTTCGTTCACCAGTAGAATTAGTATTGAAAAGCCATGCCCCAAATCTCAGTCAGTTGGAGCAGTAAATGACTAGTCCCTGGTCCATTAACCTGACTGGACCATTTCATCCATCCGAGTTCATGTGAATGCTACGAATTTCTGGTGCATTCAGAATTCTCAATAACAAAAACAAGAATATTGCTGATAAGGGGATATAACGGGACCAGCTGGTACCTAATCAGGTACAAAACAGGGAATCGTCCCAATTGCAAACAAAAAAGATCCGGAAGTTACCAGTGTCCTTATATCAAAACTGAATATACATGTTGTATGTTGTCAAATCCCATTCATTAAGATCATTTGATTTTGACCTGTTCTGCATAAAGGATGCGAGTAGCACCTCAACTTTCCTAGCCGTTACGTGGAGAAAATGTAGTTTTGCATCATTCTCAGAATCTGTTTCAGATACTTATGTAACACCTTAAAATCTTCTCTCAAAAGACAAATGTTTATTAAAAGTATTGAAATGGATAACTATAGAGAAAGCAAATATTCAAATCCAATATCAGTTCAGTTTGGTTAAATTATTCAAACTTTCTTGCTCATTTTTGACACTTAAACTCACTGATTACGTTTCAACCATATAACCGACTCCTATGTTTCGCCATTCGCTATGTTTTGAATTATTCTCAATCTTATACCATTACTGGTGCAATTTTTAAGAACATAATCCACATTAGTACGGAGAATATTCCAAAATTTCTTTCATAAAATCTGCATATGTTTTGCATTATCAAAGTTTAATTTGTATTTTAAAGAGTATCAGGTGCTAATATGTTAAAGAACTTAAGCCTAAAATTGAGAACAGAATGAGCATAGTAGGGCACTCATTTATGAAAAATGATAGCATTCCATTTAATATGCTAACTTCAGATATGCCTGAAAGTTAGTATTAACCTTCACCTTTAAGTGTGTGATGTAATATGTACACGCAAAATAACTGTTTTTGAAGAAAGTAAATCAAATTTCATTTGAAAATACAGAAAGGCAAACATTGGAGTAATGGTTCCTACAACTTTGATTTTTCTTTCAATATATAATGTTTCATGTATTTTAAACAGTGAATCAGGAAGATGGTAATTTAATGAAAAACCATAACAAATAAAACACATCTAAGTCAACCACTTGCAAATATTAAATGCCATGAAGTTACATCGTGAGATTTGTTGGGCTGCATTAGGCAGTAGTATATTTACGGCTTAAATGAAAAGTGCTAAAAGGGTGGTGATACAGTAGAGCTGGAGAATATGCAAGTGCAGTATCTATGAATATTTCAAATATAAACATCATTCAAGGAAAATCTAACTCCATATCACCTAAAATACCGACATTAAAAAAAAACTCATGGAATTTTCTGATTTGGAGGAGGGAAGCTTTTCCAAATTCTAAATGTTTCAAAATTATTTTAATTTCAGAAAATTTAAATGATTTATGCAATGTAAGAAAATAATTTCTTATTCTAATTTGATTTGTGCTTGTTTTCTGTAACTTGGAGTCAATGTTTTTGCTCATTAATTTTAACATTTTTGTAATTTTGTTTCACAAAATTAATAATGTCTAAGCTTGACTATTTAGAATTTTAGAGAAATTTTCTAAAAGTTTGCAAGTTTTTTGAGGAGTGAAGGTGATGCAAGTGTTCTAGGTAGTCCTTCACCATATACAATTGTTTTATTTGATACATTCTACTTCAGTTGTAAGTGGGAAATATGCTTGAATAATGTATTTTCATTGTAGCCAGTTCAGCTTCGGTGATTGAGTAGTGTTGCGAGCATTCATAGTTTTTAGAAAACACAGTCATTTTTGTATGTATCACTCACATTGATTTCTTTCCAAATTAGGATTCTTTATAAAAGCTTGGATGGTCTAAGAAGTGATTAATTTGTGACTTCATGAATGTTAATTTCTACCATCTGTCTTCTTGGTTTTTCTACTTTATTTTCAATTTGACTCTATTTTCTCCCTGGCTATCTTATTCCTTCTGTGATTTTATTCTACCTTTCTTGTCATTTATTTGCTGCTTTTGTTGATTTCATTTTGCTTTATTTTCTCTTTTTAGATTTCCATTTTTGCTGACTGTAATCACTACTAAGGCTACCTGTAACATCTGTTACAATTACTCCAGTGTAAATGCATGTTGTCAGATCTTATCATTGATAACCTGATTATATCTTCCATCATAAATCAAATTTTGCTTCTTTTTATTATGATACTTCATGCTAATTTACAACAAGCGATTTGATGCGATATCATTTTGCCTTAATAGTGGTTCCATCAAAAGATCATAATCTTGTTTCAAAAGAACTGCTGTATCTTTTCACTTGAGGTAAAAGGAAATCTTCAGAAACATATTTACAAGTTGGTATAACTAGTGAACACTGTCTTCCATCCTTACCAAGATTTTTGCTGTGACATTGTTCTCCATCAAATGTGACTGGCAGAAAAAAAACTAATGTAAAAAAGAAAAGCAGAAGTAGACTGTACTCTTTTAATTGCTCAGTCACAGGAAGAGCTGTTACCTATATCGTTAAATGAAGAATTTTAGAACTAGCCTGAGAGGAAGGTCCCTTTGAATAAATGGTCGTTCGAACAAATTGGGTGCTTATTAGGTAACATATGAACATTGTCCCAATGATACCTTGATTATTCTTTTATTCTGTTTCTTTGTCATCTTCTAAATTTGGTTGCTCTTGATTAATATTTATGCATTTTGCATTTATACATCATAAGATAGCATACTGGACTTAAAAATTCACTGTGGTTACAAGTTACATTATAAAGAGTATATTATACCAACTCTACTTTTAGTGTCTAGCTATAAATGTCTTGAAATTGATTCAAAGTTTATGACATTAATTATACCTATTGACTAGATAACATGTGTCTGGCTAATCTTGAGGCAGTGTGATCTGCTTATTACTAATAAAGGGATGTTATTATTTTTAAAAATCTGAATAAAATAGATTGGACCTTGTACCAGATTTTTTTCTGAATTTTGGGTTAAGGAAGTGGTTTGGAAAACTACTAATGTTCTTGTTTTATCTATTTCAAAGTTAATCGTCTGTCCATGAATTGTACACCGTGCCCCATAAGTGAAATGTTACGCTGCCTATATTTTTTACTGATTGCTGCGCTGTTCAGGTTTCTACAGAAGTATTCATTGTCTGCCTTTGCAATGGAATTTCAATCAAAATTATCAAAAATGAAGGATGATCTCTGTATCACTGTAATTGGCATAATTATATAAATAACTAATTTAATCATATAATTATGTAAATGGCATAATTATGAAGACAAAAAGTAACAAACTATATTTGTACCAAATTAATGGTAAACTTCGTGAGTGTTATATTGCATTCCCCTTACAATGGCACTAAAATGAACTGACTGAGTTTAAATGTACAGTTTTTTCAGTGTAAAATATTTGTACCACATATGGCTTCACAGTCAATAATCCTGACTAGGCACATGTTGAAATTTTGCACATTCCACATTTCACAATGATCAAGAGACCCAGCATTTGAAAATTTGTGATTACAAGTTAATTAAAAATAATAATTTCACTTCAGAATACAACCTTAATATCATCACGTTACACCTTAGCTTCTCTGCTAGTTAACATTATGCCTGTACTTTAAAGGAAGTCTTATTTTTAAACTTGTCATTAGTTACTGGGAATATGACCATTGTGAAGCTATCACTGAATGTAACATTTTTAATTTATTCCAGGAGGATAACAGTATAAAGTTTTAATGATGTCCTTTTTATTGCATTTGTTATGATAATAACACAATGATCCAGCAGAGAAGGTTATAATAAATCACAATCATATTTTATTTATGGATCAATTCATTCGAGTCTTTCCTGTCTGAACACAACTCAGAAAGTCTTTGTGCCAGCATCAGTGGAGTTGTTGCTGATTGAACAGGGGAAGTGCTATTGTTACACTGGTCCTTCAATACATCAACACTTTGTTTTCTCTGTTTCCCTTTTTTACCAAAAAAAACATGATTTTTTTTTCATTAAGGTGAGAAACTTTAGGGCTGGGAATTGGAATGTTTCCCCACTTTCCATCTGCACTTACTGTCTTTTATTTAAAAAAAAATAATTCATGGCATGTTGGCATCGCCGGCTGTGCCAGCATTTATTGCCCAGCCTTAGTTGCCCTTGACACAGTAGTAATGAGCTACCTTCTTGAACCACACTGAGTATTCCCAAATCAAATAGAATTACACAAGCAGACTGGCATTGACTCCTTGGGCCAGGGAATAATTAGGGCCCACACAAATAACCAATTCAATAAAGCCATAGCATTGAATAAAGCTGCTTTGCTCCAATTCTGAGATTTATTTTCCTCTGTTTGCAACTGGGCCAAGTAAAAAGTGTCTTTCTTTCTACTTCACATT